AAGGTGAGAAATGAGAGATGTCAGGAAAACAACACAACTTTCAGTCTAAGTCATTGGAGGAACAGAGAAGGGCAGAGTTCCAAAGGCCTGGTTTGGATCTTCAATGACCCCCAAAGGGCCAGGTGTGGTGGTATACAGCTGTAATCCCAGCACTCAGGAGGCTGAGGCAGGAGCATTACAAGTTTGAGACCCATCTGGGCTACATAGCAAGACCCAAAAAAATCCTCCAAAGGCTTGGTCACCAGCCTGTGGAACTGCTGAGAAGCAGTAGAGCGTTAGGAAGTGGGGCCTAGTGGAAGGAAGTTAAGTCATCGGGGTTGGGGGGGGGTGCCTGTGAAGGGAATCCTGGGACCCTGGAACCTTCCTCTCTCTCCTCTTCCCAGGAGCCATGAGTTGAACATCTCTGTTCTAAAATCCACTCCCTGCCATGTTGTTCTGCCTAACCACAGGCTCAAAAAAAAACCTCAAGTGACCATGAATTAAAACCTCTGAAACCATGAGCTAAAATAAACCTTTCTTCCTTCAAAACTGATTTTCTCAGAGAAGGAAAGGTGACTATCACAGAAGACAAGGAATTCAGTGTTGGACACACTGGGTTTGTGTTTTCCCCTGAACGTTAAGGTGGCCATGTAGAGTGGCAGCTGTATATGGGAGCCTGGATTGTGTGAGCTGGGCTAGAGACAAAATTGTGCTGCTTTTCCTATGAAGACTGTATTTAACACAAATTGGACCAGGTCTCCATGGGTAAACAAAGGGAAGACAGGAGGCCCTGGTACACTCTAAGGTCAAAGAAATAAAGAGAAACACAGTAAGGCAAAAGAAGTACTGTCCATGAACTCAACAAAGAGGAACCCAAGAGTGTGTTGCCTTTAAGACCAATCAGAAAAGATATTTCAGGAAGGATACGAGGGGCAAGTAACCCATGCTTCTAATTCCAGAAGGACAAGGACTGAGAAGGGAGCTCTGGATTTCACGGACTTTGCAACATGGAGGCTCCTGGTGATGATGACCAAAGCAGAGTGAGGGTGGAGAAAGGCAACCTGCAGTGAGCTTGAGGATGAGGTCAATGAAGTGGAAGATCTGAATAGAGATAAATCATCCAAGGTCTGATGTGGGAGGAGCAGAGGCATTGGAGGGTGGCTTGAAAAACAGTTGTTCTGCTCAACCCATCTATACATGAATATAATATAATGCACTGTAGAGTACACTGTCAAATATTAGGGGAGGTTGGTGATAGAGAATGAGTCAGTAACAGAAGGTAGGGGGTTAATTTGATATATACAGTCCTGAAGTACCACCAAGGGAAACCCCCTTGGACTATCAATATATACTTAATTTTTAAAAATGAAGGGCAGGAGGGAAAAATATATCTTTTCGGGGGTGGGCACCAGTGGGAGGGGAGTAGGCACAAGGAAAGGGGGAATGAGGGTGAATACACTGGATGTGTTTTGTATTTACATATGAAAATAAAAGAATGAAACCTGTTGAAATTGTTCTAAGAAGGGAGAATGATGAAGGGGGTAAATCCAACTAAGATATATTTTTAAACACACATATAAATATTACAAAGTATCCCCATCGTACAACTTTCATATGCTAATAAAATCATTAAGTAATTTTTTTTAAAGAAAAAGAGTTGTTGCTGCCATGTTTTGCATTTAACTTATCTGGTTGTTTTGAGTCATTTGTGATCCACCCATCAACTGCACCTGGGATGAACTTAGGACTCTTCCTATGAAGTTTTCATCTCTCCCACCTCATCACAGCAAGAATTCCTAGTTTGCCCCTACCTGTATAAGATGCCTTGGTATACCTTCCAAACAGTGGTCACAGAGACCCTAAAAGCAAGTCTATTTTCAGTCTCCCCACTCAGTTTCTTTCCATTGCCTTCAGTCCTGGGCTGCACCAGCCTGCACAGTTCTGTCTGTAGCCCCTCTCCACGTCCCCATGTTGGAAATCCCACCCCAGCAATCTGCAACCCTAGAGATGTACCACACCAAGCCTCAAAGCAGGATGAGGACTGTTCTTGCTCTACAGGTTACTCTAAATATAGTTGGGATTCTCCAGCCTTCGATGATATCCTGGGAACTCCCAGGATCAACTCTACCTGACACTATCTAGAGCGCCCACCACTTCCCTTTTCTAGAGTGCAAGTGATAACTTAGTCTCCTGCTTCGTATGTAATGTTTATTTTTCCAGCCATGCCTTTCCTTACCTCTACCCTGAAGCCAAGGTTCATCTTCTGTGTTATGTTCCCTTTGGAATCATCTGTTGTAAGGCACAGAACTAACAAAGGTTAAATGGTCTCTACTGAAATGCAACTGACCACACACACACACACCCTCTAAATCTAGGGCTGAAACAGGAATAGTACTGGTAGGTGAATTCTATCAAAGGTATCTTATCAAACAGGCTACAGTGGCTCTTATGATTCTAAAATTCTCTGTGATAAGAATAGAGAGATGAGTTCTCTCTCTGAGTTCACAACCTTGAACTACATTAGGCTCCAAGAAAAATAAAAGTCCTTGCCTATGAATGGAGTTTAGAACTGTCTGGTTTGGTAAACAGATAGATAATAAGATGAAAGATTGAACAAAAAAAAAAAAAGGATGGGGGGAGGGCAAGAAGGAGAGAAAAGGATAGGTATGTGTGGATATGTACGTGCATTGATATGTATACACGTGTGTGCATGCACACACAGATATATACACACATATGCATACATATGTCTGATCAATTTACTAAGACTGGCAGCATGGGATGTATCAAAGTATTTCCAATTGAAAGCAGCTTAAGCAAAGAACTAACTAGCAGGATACCCAGACTCTCAACCCAGCAGGGCAAGGAATCACCTCTGTCTTGTTGTAAACATAATTTTAACTCTGTGGCTTTTCACTTTTCCAGTTTGAAAAATTGTCTAAGACTCGTTTCCAGCCCTAAGAGTGTATGTCTTCACAATACTCTAGACTATAAATAAGTGAAAATAGAGTGTGCAATGTTTTCCTGGGGCACAGTTAAATCCTCCTAACATTTGTAACCCTGTTAAACAGGACAGAGTCATAAAAATGATATCCAACCACTGCTATTAGAAATTCAAGTTTATGTACTATCACTGTTCTTTTTTACCATCTCCAATGAAATTATCCCTTAAAAATAAAAGTATGCCCAAAGTGAAATTGTTCTGAATGGTGCATCAAAAGGAAATAGCATTTTAAGAAATCTCACAGTTGAGTATGGGATCTCACTAACTGGATTTATCATCATGCATAACTGCACCTTACAAAGTAGGCCAAACCTAGAGGTATATACAGACCTGGTAACAGCCCAGTGCCAAGTTCTGGGTTCTTTCATTCAGGGTTCATGGTGGGAACAGGCAGCAGAGATCCTGGAACTAACTTTACGTGAAGAAATACAAATCTGCTCAAATACAAGCTTGGACCACCAAGACAAAAAAATGTGTGCCTCACTTAGTGGGAGGTGAGAGACCCCACTGGATGGATAATCTCCCCTCAAGGACCACAAGCCTTATCTTGCACTTCCAGGCCTCCTTGCCCCAGGCCTGGTCCGAGAGGACTTTATAAGTCACTGACAGAGGTGTTATCTGTGCACTCACAGCACTATTTACTGTCCCACGGTGTGGACATGGGCCATGGGTGCTTCAGCAGTGTTGGCTTCTGTGTCTGCAAGTTCTGCTAAAAATCACAGTCAGTGACAAGTGATAATCTCACCAGGAAAGGAGGCGGTCCTCGCCCTCTTCCTGCTCTGAATCGTACAGGCTCTGTCAGTGTAGCATTTCTTACATTAAAAGGAAAAGGAATCAATAAGTGTGACCAGCTGTTCTATGGATTCTAACCTACCTGGCCAGCACCACCACTCCTCCATCTTAAAAGACATTTCCATTTTTGTAAAGGAAGCGAGGGGACTGAGGGCACACACTGCCTGTGGAGAAGACACCATGAAAAGGGGCTCACACTGTCCACCCCAAAACTGCACCTACCACCATTATACTAGCAGTAGTATAAAATTTCAGAATCCCTAATAGTGGTGGAAGATCACTGAGCAAGGCTGAAAGGTGTTAGGAAAAACTCCAGCAACTGTACAGCGGAACCCTTCCTTTCCAGAAATCCTATAAATAATCCTCCAAGTTACAGCGACTTCAATACAGCTTCCTATTTCTGTCTCTCCACCTACCAATTTCCTAAGAATTACATGCTAGGTCAAATTACTGTCAAGCCAAGGAAGAAGGAGCCTGAAGCAAGGGCTGCGCTCCATCCTGCTGATGAGCACCTGCGAGCCAACATGGCAGAGCTTTGCTTCCTGTGTCCCAGCCCCAGTGAATGAGCAGACTCCGTGGGTCACAACACCATTGATCCCTCAGGTAAAACACACGTCAGCCCCACCCCCTAGATCACCAGGGTTCCTCTCATGTCAGAAGGCCCAAGACAAAACTTAAGGACCAAGAGTACTAAACAGTTAACACCAAATTACAAGTTTGAAAAGAAACTCTTGAACAAAATGGCTTACTCTGCTAAAAAAAAAAACTACAGCCTGATGAGATTACAAAATAACCAGGAAACTGCAAAATCCAATCTCAGTCATCCTTCAGCTTCCAACTCTACCCTGAAAGAACTGGCATGGTAAAGACAAGGCAGTAGTTAATGATTTGCCAAGATCCAACCAAAAAATTGTACTTTCTTAAGACATCAGGTAAAACAAGTCCATACAATCAGCTTTTAGAGAATTTTTAACTTGTGAAATATAGCAAGGCAGACACAATAAATCACCAATAGGTGTTAGAAAGCATACAGACACTCAAATTTATAGATAATAATTCCCTGATGTACAATGACGCGTGCCACCTAAGTATAAAATAATGTGAAGTAAAGTTAGCACACTCAGGGTGTATTGCTAAAGAGAGTTTTTGGAAAAACATATCTATCTCACATATAAAATTAAGTCTCAACTCCAGAAGAAGGGAAGTAAAACATATATAACCTTACCTTTGCCAAAACTGTGGATGTGGCCAGTTGTTCTCAGGGTTTGGTAGTTAAGAGGAAACATTTCAGGCAGCTACAATCTATGGCCACCTCCAGACTCTCTCTCTTCCTTCCACTCATGGTGAGCCAGGAAACAGTGTCTAACGCTTCAAATGCTCGGTCGTTGAGAGCTAAAAACAGATTCTGTGCAATGCTGAATGTATTTTTGTCTGCTAGCTACACACCCTCATCATGTTCAATTCTTTCCATTGGTGGAACAGTATGATGCAAACTTAACCAGAAAGTGGTTTTCCATGGGCTGCCTGAAGTGATTACCCAGGACAGCCTGCCACCGTGCCTTGGAGACACCAGGCTGCCCATGACTGGGCCTGCATTCCACAATGACCACCAAAGTTCCATAGGAACGCAGGCTCCAGGGTTTGCTGAATAAAGGTTTACTCACTTGCAGGGAGCCTCAGCTTCTTTTTTAAGGCCTCCAGCAGTAAGAATACACACTTACCATCCTTGGGTATAGGCCTGCAGTAGACAGTGTGCTCCCCAAACCACAGCTGGAATGTTATGCTCATAAAAACCTTGCCTTAAAAATTATTTCATGATTTGCAAAATATCGGGTATACACTTACTCTATGTTTCCTGCTGGAGTTATTTCATTTTTAAGTTAGCTGAACAACAGTGCTATATACACTGAAGTCGCTGTTACTCAACTTTGCACTATTTTATCAAAAATATGCATTATATTACCGCAAGTGAAAGTCACACACCAGAGGCTTTAAGTCTGGCTATATTCTTCGATGAAAGACCTTAAATATAAAAAATATCCCAAAGGAAAAGCTATGTTTTCAGCTCATTTTATATTAGGGTTCTTTTTTGGCAGAGGTAGGTAATCAATGGGAGAACAAGATCACATCTGTGTGGTCCTGTTAAAATTTCTGAAGTTATTTTCCATAGAAAATAGTTTAATCAGAAGTTTTTAAGAAACAAGTGTTCGAAGTATGCCAATATACAACAACTTAACCCAGACAAACGTGTGGCAATCGTTGTAAGATAATGAGTTCATTAATTTAAGAGCATGAATGGATCCACATATGCAACAGACCAGATTCTCCATAAACAGATAAGCTTTCAAGTCCTTATCTGATAAAAGTGGATCTTTACATGTACATGTATACATCTATACATACAAGTATACACACACATATACACATGCACACACACTGTGAAGCAGAATTCTCTTCCATGTGTACTTTAATACATATTTGATGGCAGGCTTTCTCACCTGATAGGTAAGATTATCAGTCTACCACTTATAAAAATTAGTCTAACTGTCACAAAAATTTAAATCTGAACACAAAACCAAGGAACTTAGTATTGATGGAATAGATCTGAACATTTCCCTCTTCTAATCCTCTCCCCTTACAGATAAAGAAAAAGTGGCCTTAAGTGACTGCACGAGGTCACAGAGCTGGTGAGCACAGCCAGGCTGTACCACCCAAGTAACCACAAGCCCCTGGACTGAAGTCAGAGTTACCATGGAAGCCAAGTCACACAACATAAAATGTGGGAATTCCCAAATTTTAACTTGACGTGAGTGCACACACTAAAAAAGACTCTAGGTAAATATGGAAGGAGTAAGAATGCTGCTAAGTCATTGAACTCTGATTCCTCTACATCTGACCACATCATTCTGGCTACTTAAAGAAAAAAAAAATAAGACTCCCCCATCTCCCAAATAACCAGAGCAAAATGGACTAGAGGGGTGACTCAAGCAGCAGAGTGTCTGTTTTGCAAGCACAAAGCCCTGAGGTCAAACCCCAGTTCCACTCTTAAAAAAAAAAAAGTAAAATAAAATATCAGCTAGAGTAAAGGAAAGCTTTCCAAACAACTTTGAGACAACAGAAGAACTTAGATATGCTGGGGAAATTTATGCCAGAAAAAAGAAGGAAATTTAGAGAGAAGGAAATTTAAGGAGATTCTGTTTCTAAGTGTGAAAGATGTACCAGAAGAACAGCTACCAGCATGGAAACACTTGTATGTTCACACTCGCTTCCTGCTTCTAGATGTTCTTAGATAACTCCAACCTCTTGGTACATTTCTATGTGAATTGTTCTATGCCAGAGTCACCTGGGGGAATCAGTGATCTCCAGCATTCCTCAGACATTTCAAATGAATTTGCATTAACTTGTTCTATTTTTTTTATTACCAAGGTCACCCAAATAACTTTAGTTCTATGAATTTACAAAGTCACTTGGGGTTTCAGACTACAGAAGAAGGTTTTACAAGTTCTTTAGACTTTGAAACTACAGTAAAATACTCTCAATTTAGTTTTCTGTCCTAAAATTTCTAAACCAACATATTTTCAAATCTTCAAAGTAGACTTGCTCTTTTCAATGCTTCATTGTGAGATAATATAATAGGACATATGTGTTAACAAGCATCTAAAATTAAATTCCTTGGCAAAGGTATCTGAGGGACATGTAAATTACCATGATGGAGTATTTAATTCTGAAGCACACTACGCAAATTAACACAGTCAAAATCAAGGAGAACAAAGTGTTAACTATTCTAGAATTTAAGTGTGTGTTTGGGGGGAGGGTATGTTCACTGTACAGTTCCTTTGACTTTTCTAGATTTTTACAAATTTTCTTAACATAAGATGGGGTAAGTGGCATTTGTGTACACACACACACCAATCTATGACAAATACCGTATTTTACTACGCGCCTCGTCGAGAACAAGTATAAACTTGATTACAATCAAGACCATGAGTATTCCACCGTGCACATACACATTCTGAAAGGCATCTTGTGAGGATTTCTTTATCTAGCAAGAGAAGCGGAAGGTGCAAAATGGTAAAATATGGCAAAGGAAATAAAGAATAAAAAGAATTTTCAGGGCTAGGAGTATAGCTCAGTGATAAGAGTACTTATCTAGCATGGATGGAGCATTGGGTTTAATCCCCAGAACTTGTAATAATAAAAAACAACTTGTAAGAGCCATTATCACATAAATCATAATTAATTAAAAAGAGTGTAATGGAAATTATCTTAGGCTTCAAAACCAGTGTGGACCAGCAGCTCTCCTCTTAGTAACTTCAATGTTTGAAATCCATTTCCTTCATCCCCAAATGGGGATGATAATAATAGCATCTACCACAAATAAAACATGAATAAATACACTAATCTATAAAAAGTTAAAGAAAAACTAACACAAAGAAAGACAATATTTTCAGTGTTGATGATCAAACTCGGGCCCTTATACATGATAGGCAAGTGTTCTACCACTGAACTATATCCCCAACCCAAAAAAGACAATTTTAAAAGTAATATATGAGCTGTCAGAAATAACCTCTGTGCTTAGAGTCCAAGAAACCAACCCTTTTAAGGTCAAACATAGAATGTTACTGAAATAAAATCCCACTAGCACCATTCCAGCTTGCTAACCAATAGTAAATTCATGATGAAAATATATAAATAAGAATAAAATAAATAATAATAAGGAAAAGACAAAAATAGAAACAACTTTTATCCAAACAGGATTCCAAAAGATTGGATAACCCTTCACAAGTATAAACATCCACCTTCCACTGAAACCTCACGGAGCAAAAGTCTCATCAACACCTCCTATGCTGGCGAGAATGGGGAGCGCTCCCCTGCTGCTCTGAAGGAAAAACAATCCTTCAAACCATGCAAGCTGAAACGACACGCAACCTGAGAAACGCAGCTGTACCACATCCTACGTGAAGGCAATGCGAGAAGAAAGCATACAATGTACCCCAGTGAGAATCCTATGACCTTCAGAAATACCACCTGGGGAGAAGACTTTTCTCCCCAATTTGATCACAAGACTCAAATCTAGCAGGTCTGACTGTAAAACCAGAGGCTTCCAAACCAGCCCAAAGAATACAGAGCGAGTGTTCATGTCCAAAACTGGAGCAATCCGAAGGCTCATCTCCCATGTGGGCAGCTAAAATCAACACGAATCCACAATTGACGTGTGCAGTTCATATGCTGCTCAGTCATGGTCCCCAGGCAGCTAGGCACACACCCAGGAGCCAGGCATGACAGTCCCTCTGCCCTGCCTTCCAAGACTGCTGCGTGACCTTGTACCTGTCACCTAACTTCTCTGAGTCTTGGTTTCTCAATCTGTAAAATGAGAATAATGTTTACCTCCTTCTTTGGGTTATTTTTAAAGATTTGGTTAAAATAACAAATGTAAATTATCTGACACAAGGCTGACCCTGAGAATGTAAATTCCATAAAGCAGGTATCTCATTAAAACTGTCTGCCTTTAGAATGCACTACTGTGATAGCATGCATGTGCCTGGCACATGGCGAATACCCGGTGCATACCTGGTGCGTAAGTGCACGTGTGAGTGAGTGCATGAACGAGCTGGAGATGACAGTAGATACCACTCTGCCTTTTTTTCTAAATCCCCATGCTGGCCTGAAACTCATAATTCTTCAACTTCAGTCTCCCCAGTAGCTAAGATTACAGGTATGAACTGCCATCCCCAGCTAGGTACCCCTTTTTCGTAGGCTCTGTTTTACACCGTCATTAAAATGCAACATAGCAAGGTACACATTGCTTTAAAAAAAAAATCGCTCAATGGCCACTTACTGAAGGAGAACAAAATACACAGCAAAGCAGTAACTTTTTTAAAAAGCAAATGAGAAATGCCTTTAAAATCAGTAAGTTGATTTTAGGGAAATTCAAAATGCAACATAGCAAGGTACACATTGCTTTAAAGCCACAGGAAATCTAAATTCCATAACAAGCTCTACCTAAGTTTTGGAAAGGAATGTGCAAAAATATTTTAAACAGGTCAATTATCATGGAAATGTCAGGTTTTATGACATAAATATTTATGAAGTCCATTATATACTTTACATTATATACCAAAAAAAATCCCAATTACTTCTGCAAGAATTAGTAAATATTTAGTAACATAAAAGCTAAGATTGAAAACTAATTCTTCATAAAAGTTCTTCTTTATAATGATTTTTTCCTATAGCCCATTTCCTCCAAATTAAATATACTTTGAAAATTCACAATGAATGTTATTTCATAAAATCTCAAAATTCGAAATTAAATAGAATGCATTATAATAAGAAACTGGTG